AGGTGAGTTTATAAAAAATGCTCGAGTTACCTTCCTCTTCTTCGACAAACCACTAAGCAAGGCAAATTCATATAAGGTGGTGTTACTGGAACAGCTGATTTACCTTGATATACAAAGTTTGAAATTTTTTAATCCGCTGAAGTGGGTGAATGAGAAAGTGAGAGTGTCCGTATTTTCTTTGCCTCTTCTGTTTTATTTTTTTACTACCTTCAAGATTCAACAAAGCTTCCGAAAAGTTTTCAAACATTGCCGGCGTAGCCGAGTGGTTAAAGCTGCGTACTTCCGCCCCGTAGGACAAAGGTGCGATCCCTGGTTTTTCCTAGGAGCGGTCGCCCCTCGGCAGGCAATGGCGAACCGCAGAGTATACTTCTGCCATAAACTTTAGCCCCGCATTAGGGATCACAAGCGGAATAAGCGTGAAGAGTACCTGAAGATCTGTAACTTCACCTCTGCTGTTAGAAATCTGTGGTTAATGTACGGATTTGGTGTAATCCGATGAAGCGGGATAACAGAGATGAAATTTCACTCCGTAATTGTGCCTTATCGAGCGAGCTATTGGACAGATAAGGCCAACGATCGAGTGTTCCAAAGGCTACTCAAACTGATAAAATCCCGTGTGCCTCTTACTTTATCAGCATTGAAATTCTGACCAGTGATGGAAAATTAGGCACAATAGTGTCATTTTTGGCACTTTCATTCACAAGGGCACTTTTGGTACAATTCATTCAGTTTTGGCACAATCATAAATTACAGAAGTTTAGCCAGTATATAACAAACAATCATATCGTCGTTTAAAGTACAAAACCGCGTATCAACAAAATGCAAAACCGCGTATGTGAGGTTACATAAATTATTTTCTAGAGAGTAAAAGCACAAATTTTTCAAAATGGTTCTCTTTTTTATAAAGCAATCGCATTTCTAGCTAGTAAATTTCAGAACGAACGGATAAGGATTGAGCCAAGAGCTTGTGTGAGTAGATCCATTTTTTGGCAGCAAATGTCAGTTACGCGGTTTCGCAGAATGCCGATACATGGTTTTGTACTTTAAAAGAAGATATATTACTCATAGATTCAAAAAACGAAAATTAAAATCACTTAAAAATTAAAATAAGGGCCATTATATAAAATTAGTAAAAATTATTCAATGTATTCAAAATGTCGCACTGCTATTATTTCGCACATAGGTATGTTTATGTGTAAACAGGTCCGAATAGTTATATTTAAGTGTTTTTCCCCTTCGTAATTGGAATATTGTGTTATTTTAATATGATTTTACTCTAATAATGCAATGAAGTAAATTAAAAATAGATAATTTTTCTAAAAATACATATGTGGCTCCTAAATAGACTTAAAAGGAACCATTTTCAATTTTGTGACACTTTCGTCTCCTTTTTGGCACTATTTTCGCAGTCCATTAGGCACATTTTGTATTTTTGGAATTCCATCCCTCATTCGGACCATCGCGAAGCCAAAAGCTTCCAAATCCATTGGTCTCGAAGGAACATGCATGATACCGGTGAAAAATTTGGTCAAGCGATGGTAGGTAATCTTACCATTGGCTCATGGAAATTAGGGAGAGTTATTCCACATCATCCGATAACACTCGTCTTCCCAGTAGTGAAAACACTGGATCTCTTATTACCCATGTATTTCTAGCAGGGTTCGTATTTGCACACACATGCGCAGCACATCCTAACATTTTACGCTCACACACGTGTGCTGTGCATATAAAAAATTAAAAACTTGCTCACATCACATGTGTGTGCTGTTTGGTAAAAAGCACGGGCACATGTGTGTACTTTATTTTTATTAATATAAAGCACACGCACATGTGTGTGCTTTGCGTAGAGAAACTTATACACTTCGATTTCTATCTCAAATCTTAAAATAATTTTTTAATATGTTTTCTGTCATATAAAAAACAAACAACACCTCACTTGTTATTGAATTGTCTTTCAAAAAATAACGTTTAATAAACAAATTCTTTTAAAAATATATTATGTGCATGTGCATGGGCTGAAATTTGTACAAAAATCGGCTCACACACATGTGCATGTGCTTAATAACAAACAGCACACACTTTTCTGTGAGCAGAGTTTGTTTTCCACTTATGCACACACATGTGTATGAGCAGTGAGTACAAGTTGAATGTGTTTCTGGCGTGTGTGTGAGCAGAGCATGTGTGTGCAAATACGAACCCTGATTTCTAGTGACAACTAATCACAGAGAAGTACCAATGTGACTTCCTTTAACAGATATCCAGATAACTCGTGGCTTTAATCACAACTACCTGTGTAAGAGAGCCGTCCTTGTAGCCATGGACCTGAAGAGGACTTTCCTCACTGTCTTACACTCCACGCTGCTAGAAGACAATGGCCCCTTCTCTAGCATAGGGACTCAAATGGTGGACTGGAAATTATCAACAATCGTCGTAATTTTAAGAGTTCAACCATAGAAAATCGGAAATTTTGATGAATCCAATGTGATATATCGTTTCTGTAGTGAATATAGCACAACCACTACGTTGAGGAAAAACTAAGCATGCCTTACGCCTACGATCGGTTAAAATAAGCCAAATGGGTTTGGTATATATCTAATTCTATTCATTTACTTAAATGAATTTGAACCTTCCAGATACAAGTGTAAAAATGAAAATCGCGGCAGTTTAGAATGCGAACAATTTATTTTCCAAAATTTTTTAAATTTGTAGGGTACCCACTGTAAGCGAAACGCCGCCACTGCATAAACTGGAAGAGTACGACAGAGAGTGCTCCAGAAACCTATCGCTACAATGTTTGCTTGCCAACATCAACAAAGTCTGTTGGTGTTTTCGTTGCTTGTGTGAAATGTTTACCCATGTGTTCGATGCTGTTGATTTTCAGCGACGCGTCGCACAATGGGCCATATGACGACATTAGCCGGATAAAAATCAAAGTGGAATTTTGATGTTTTGATAATTCGAACTTGTTAAGGAAAGTCCAGTTACATAGAAAAAAATATCCTTTTAGTATTTTTTTTATGGGTCAAATTTTATGTTTTAAAACTTAGTTTTCTAAATATTACACAAATCAAATAGACATTTTTAAAATGTGGTATCTTTTTTATCACAGTGATGCTCTTTTATACAAACTGGCTGAGTCAGTGGGATCGTCGGTTCGAATCCTACTAAAAGAAGTCTGATGAGGAAATGTGGTGATTTCCGAAATAGCTATCACTTCTACCATTTTTTCAAATTATTGTTGCTTTTCCACAATAAGTTTTTCATTAAAAATGGCCTCGAGCTCAATAAAAAATTGTTGAAATAAAAACAATTAATATGTGATGAGGGACGTAGGTAGAGTAATGTGTCAAAATAAGACGTTTTTTCGTCAAAAAATATCAACAAAGTCGAAATTTTTTGGACAATCTAAACACTGTATTGTCATGTATTTTTCTTAAAATTTTTTCGTGAAGCTCTTCATGATATGTTATTTTAGATACTACTTAAGCCAGACTTCGCACGACCTCGCAACAATGTCAAATTCCATATTATATCATGCAGAGTCTGTACGAAAAATGGTCTTAGTTACCCAAGAGTTGCGACTGATGAATCAGATGAAAGTTCACACTCCGACAGTGACATTTCGCAGACAACTCAAAAAATATATATTAAAAAAACAAACAAATATGAAGTTACAAGTTATATATTCATTACAAAATAATTGAATGTATGTATTAAACAATTTTACATTTAAACTTGAAATAGTGCTTAATTTGCAGTGTAAATCTTTTAAATTAATTTAAACTGTAAATAAGTTTTTCGATTATATTGGTCTCAGTGCCCTTGGAAAGGTTAAAAACTATATTTCCAACATCTACATAAACTCCTCTTTCTCTTTATTAGAATCGGTAGAAGTTAAGAAAGTACTTCGAAGGTGTTCACACGGGTTTTATCAGGACGGGGTCAAAAATCAATATCTTTGCATCACACGTTTGGGTAACTAGTATTCAAAAGATGAAGCAAATGTGACCATAATTAGGATTCTTTAGGATATCTCTCAATCCCTGAGCCCCCACTGGAAGAAAAATCCTTCCATAAACCTTTCCACAAAATAACAATCATTAAATGCGATTTTGAATCTGGGAGAAAATTCTTTCCAATTGAATGATTCTTGCCATTTTATGATTTTTATATGTAGGTGTATCCATAAACTTATTATAAGTAGTTCTAGAGATATGCGATATGGATATTGCATTTTGTATGGGAGGAGCGACATCCCCATTTAGAACACAAACCACTTTTCGCCATAAGTACGTTAGCAAAAGTGGTCCATAGATAAGCGATATTTGAAATTCGGAGATGCCACTCCCCCTTTTCCAAAATCTACCATTTTTCGCCATAAGTACAGTATTGTTAACATATGTAGCTGTTTCAAAATTCAGGATGTTAGCATAAGCGGTTCCAAAGATAAGCGATATGAGAATTCCAGTTTGTATTGAAATTGCCACGCCCCCTTTTCCAATAACTATCATTTTTCGCAGTAAGTAGGGTATTTACAATTTATGCATCCGTGTCAAGTTTCAGTTCCCCAGCGTAATTGGTTTTAGAGATACATCAGTTTTCACATTTTAGTCTGTATGTCATATGCCACGCCCCCTGTATAATGGGGTTAACATTTCTGGATTAGAGGAAGTTATATCCTTTCAAGAGAACGGTGCCCTCAAAAAGGGGGCTAAAAATTTTATTGTGGCGTATTTATATATAGATACCTTCAATTTACCGTTTTTGCTACAAACCCTCCTCAAAGGACCTCTGGTGTCGTCTAATCGATCCTTGATCAAAGTAAGTTTTTGTATGGCCACTTTTTACAACAAATCTAAGCATCTGAAGCAATAAAATATTTCTTTCCTGCTAACTTGTATGAGGCGGCCCACTGTGCGTCGGTTGCCTGACTACCAGCCATTATGATTTGCCTGCGTGTCGCTTGTGTGAGAAGCGCTGTTATAAAACCAACAAGTGACGCGCTCCTGCCTCAGTAAAAATTGTGCCTTTGTGCAGATTACTACTAAACAAAACAAAAGAGCAGAGAGTTAAAAATCAAAAGAAAGTGAAAATTGCAAAGAGTTCTAGTTAAGAACTGAAGATATACAAACAAAGCCACTGTGAAGTTTTAGCAACATTTCGAGTGAAAACAATAAATCAACAAGATGCCTAACACATTCCCAATCAAGCCACCAGCACAGATGCCCTGCCCGCACTGGAATCACTTTCCTATTCATCCACAAGTGCAGGTTACATTCGGCAGCAGCTGCAACGGTCCAAACAGCCCATCATCGCCGCCACCAACACCGAGCTCATACTCCTACTGCAGTGCTTGCAATGCCATGCAAAAGCGACAGTCTTGAGCTATGTTTTTATGTCTAAAGCCTCGGCGCAAGTTATAAAAGTAAATACTAGTTATATGGCAAGAGCAGTTCGTGGCACAGCGTCGAGAAAGGGGCAGCGGAAAATGAAAGAGCTAATTGCAGCCAATAGGCGTCAAATATAAGGCACACATTTGCCTACAAGAAGTAGAAAAGAGACATAAAGGATTCAAGGGGCAATCACCTGTCGCCAAGAACGGCTAAATTCCGATCTATAAATAATTTGAAATATTGTAGGCGTAAATAAGAGATATATGTATTTTTGTAAGCACTGCAATGAGTGAATTTAGAGTGGAGTGTTAACGCTCAGTCAAAAAGGCCAACACCCAAAATGCCGCTAAACCAGTTTTTGGATAAAAAAAAATGAATACGCATTACTGATGTGGTTTTATAGAAGTACTTAATTTTAAGTTGATTAAAGCTAATAACACACTTGTGTGATAAGACGTCATATAGATACTATATAAAATACTTATAATAAAATCAGACTTATAGCATGTATCTAGTATATAACCAATTAAGCACATAGAGAAGAAGTGTTAATTTTTACATGTAAACACTTTACTCGAGTGAATAAGTTATCAAACGTCCTTCTATGGATTCTTCAAGACTGTAAGATTAAAAAAAGCTACATAATCTTGGAAGTTTTAAGAATTTTTTTAGCACATACATATGTTTATTACATAAGTGTATGTACTTAGTATATGTATATGTACATTTGTATATGCAAATGATTATGAGCGAATAAATTTCTATTTCAAAATCAATTTGGTTTACTTTCAACGATTTTTTTATTATTTCTTGTATATTTTTCCCTAATACTTCTCTAACAACGGAAAGCAGTCTGCTTTTGCTTGCTTATCGCAGTTGCCGCTAATACGAGGCGTTATGTATTTACATTAAGGTGGTCCAAAAATGCGTGTGAAAAAGTTAAATCGGAATTTTTACGCTCTCACCTCCTAGAATTGCTCTATACCGAAAAAAATAAACATTTTCTTTTGAAATCAAAAAATATTTAGAGGTCACTCAAAGCCCCAAAGTTATTGTATTTTATATATATAAAAATATTGATTTTCAAGAATTCTACGAAAAATTTTATTTTAATATAATTAATTATTTAATTATAAAAATACATGGAAAACTTTAAGCGCTTTAAGCGACCTCTAAATATATTTTGATTTCAAAATAAAAAAAAATAGGGGTATACTTTTTTCGATATAGAACAATTCTAGGGGGCGAGAGCATCACAATTCCGACTTTACTGTTTTTGAACCACCCTAATGTACATACGAGGTGTGTTCAAAAAAATTGCGATCTCGTACGAGTCTGAATTTATCATAAATAGTCAGAAGTCGTTCCCGCACACACATTTATAATATCTTCAGTACTTTTTCTGGAATAATTCTGAAAAGTTCGGCCTCGAACGGAATCGCAACTATATAGTAAGGTGAATTTTGGAATTTCGTGGACTACAGATATTCTAATTTCAATTTTTTATTTTGTTGTATTGGAGCACTAATGATCATATCGATTTCAGTGGAAGATTGACCTATCTCGGCAGCAGGTTCGAAAGCGACCTATCTCAGAAAATAGCCCTACTTCAGAATTTGTTTGAATAACACCCTATCTCAGAATTTTGTTGAAGAACGCCCAACCAAGGTTTTCTTCCATATAAATTTTTATTTATTTTTATTTTTTTTTTTCATTTTAAAAATCAACGTTAATTTTTAGCGACTTGAAACTCCCACTTTATGATACTAAAATTGAATGGGCTACAAAACTGCATATTCAAACTAGGAAATCTGGTTTAAAAAATCGAAACTTTGATGTTTTTTTTAAGTTTTGTAAACTTTGTGCAAGCTTTTAAACTTTTATGTATGCGGTTTCTAATATATTTCGACCCATATTTTAAATGAAAATTATTAACACCAAATTAATAAACATAAGTTACCAACTGAATTTTACTACTCGCAACTATATATGTATATTTTTTAATTTCATATCTTTTCTTAATTTAATTTTTTTATGCTTTTAAAAAGAACTTATTTCATTGCCTTATTTTTTTATTTAATTTTTTTCTTCTTTTAGCATAATTTTCTTTGAATTTTTAGATTTTATTTGAAGCGTTGGCATACGTGTATTATATCTGAGAGGGAATAACTTTGAAGAAGATAACATTAATATTCATGAATAAATAAAGTTGTTGATAAAAATGAAAAGTCGCCTTACTTTTTGAACACACCTCGTACTTACATACATATGTACATATAACATATTAAGCACATAACATGCACGAGCACAATCAGTTATTATATCATGGTTTCTACAAGCAACGCAAACATCTGAGAACCTTTTGAAGAATGCTTATTGCTAATGTTTAAGTTGAGTAGACCAAGGTCATGAATAATTTAATATGTAAGTATGAACACAAATACATATGTACAGTGGCGTAGCCAGAGGGGGAGGAATTGGGGCGATAAAACTCGCCCCACCCCTTCGTCAATAAGCCAATACTTTTTTACCTTTGATTTAACAACACAATACCATTTCATCCTTCTGATTTGTCATTTTTGAATTTTTTCTTTATGAATTGAGCAAATACTAAACCCTTAGAAAATCAGAAAGTTTTATGGGGATTCGAAGTTAATGCTAGTAGTATGCTGTAACATTAAAGGAAATTCAAAACGAATTTTACCGGAAAATTTACGTGATGGAATTTTTTATACATTTTTTTTTCGTAGCTTAGTACTAATACCTACCCTAATTTCTAATTCGTTTTTTAAGGGAGATACCATGTTGTTGTTGTTGTGGCAGCATACAAGTTCCCCAAAGAGTTTTTGGGGACTGTAGCTGGAGTAGCGGTCCTTGGCAAAATATAAATCTGGGTCGTTCCGGTTACGTAGACACAGGCCTCGGTTATCTACGAAAGTCTGGAATGGTATTCATGATCTTTGTGAAGAGGAATCCAAATTCGAATAGGAAGAGCAGTTAATCTACACAGAAAAATGTATATGTATAAGTATATAATTTCTAAAACAAATAATTTTTCCTTATCTAACAAAATACGAAATGGTATGACTGAATAGTATTTATGATCTTAATGAAGACAAACCCTACTTCGAAAAGAGAATGCGTAATTTCTCCAAGAATTATAATTTATAGATGTGTATAAATTTGCTTAGTGCTGATTTTGAATGAAGAAAACTTGTAGAAGATTTGTCCTATAAAAATATGTCTACACGCAGAGCCTTAAACACCTATTTTATAATGTACGTTCTTTATTAAGAGCATTATAAAACCCTTATAAGAGTACAGCCTAAAAGTAGTCTTTCAAAACGNTTATAATTTATAGATGTGTATAAATTTGCTTAGTGCTGATTTTGAATGAACAAAACTTGTAAAGATCTTAAAGCTAAAANAACAAAATACGAAATGGTATGACTGAATAGTATTTATGATCTTAATGAAGACAAACCCTACTTCGAAAAGAGAATGCGTAATTTCTCCAAGAATTATAATTTATAGATGTGTATAAATTTGCTTAGTGCTGATTTTGAATGAAGAAAACTTGTAGAAGATTTGTCCTATAAAAATATGTCTACACGCAGAGCCTTAAACACCTATTTTATAATGTACGTTCTTTATTAAGAGCATTATAAAACCCTTATAAGAGTACAGCCTACAAGTATTCTTACAAAACCNACTTCGAAAAGAGAATGCGTAATTTCTCCAAGAATTATAATTTATAGATGTGTATAAATTTGCTTAGTGCTGATTTTGAATGAAGAAAACTTGTAGAAGATTTGTCCTATAAAAATATGTCTACACGCAGAGCCTTAAACACCTATTTTATAATGTACGTTCTTTATTAAGAGCATTATAAAACCCTTATAAGAGTACAGCCTACAAGTATTCTTACAAACCCTTTATAAAACCGACTGGTCTTCACACATAGACAAGAAATATATAACGGTAAGAATAGCTCATATACAGTGGTGGAAAAATAAATAGGCACACGATATTTTAACTAATTTTTCCTCTTTTTCTTATGTTTATTTAATATTTATTATTTCTTTAAAAAAGTATACTAATCTTACAAAACAATATAAATTTGTAGTTCAAACGTTGTGCAAAAATTGTAAAAATTCTGCGAAAGTGCTTCTAAATTTAAAGAGTTTTTTGAGTATGCAGTTTTATAGCCGATTAAATTTTAGTGGAGTAAAGTGTAGGTTTGAAGTTTCTAAAAAATCCCGTTGATTTTTGATCATTTTTATTCTGAATGTATTACGCACTTCTTTCCATACAAAAAAATTGTCGAACATACTTTTATGGAAGAAAATACGTTAAAAAATCGCCAAAAATCAACATAACGTAAAACTTACACTTTATTCTAGCAAAATTTAATGGGCTCTAAAACTGCATACTCAACAAATTTCTAAAAAAATCTGATTAAAAAGTTGCAAGTTTGCAGAGTTTTTATAATTTTTGCACAAAGTTTGAAATATGAGTTTACATGTTTTTTGTTAGATAATGGGCTATACTTTTATAAAAAAAATAATAAATATTAAATAAACAAAGAACAAATAGGAAAAATTTGTTAAAATGTCGTGTCACTATTTATTTTCCACTAATGTATGTATGAAAAATTACACAGGCGACGCCTCTAGCCATTGAGGGTCTCACCTTTAAACTACGCAGAAGTTTTTTTTCATAACCCCCCTTCGCGAAATCCTCGCTACGCCACTGCATATGTACGTATGTGTGTTCAATCAGCTTAGTATGAAATACAATGCACACGTTCTTCAGAAGTGTATCAACACAAAATTTCCGATTGTTAGAAAACGCAAACACGCCAATTTTTTTAAGCTCATCTTAGTCAAATGTGGAAGGGTGGCTTTACTGTGGGTTTCAGCAAAAATTAAATCAATATATTCCACCAGCTTGTCATTTTAGGTAAAGGTAGGATTTAAGAACTTTTTTAGGGAAAAATATCAAAAATTAAAAATTTTAGTTAATACGCCAA